AACATCCCTCTGTCCTTGGACCCTCACAGTGAATAAGGAGAAACGCTGTATTTTATCATTTATGATTTATGGTTTTGCTGATATTGAGTTGAGCTCATAACTGTTAATATTAAGTGTACTCTTTGTTGTACATTGAATAGATTATATAGATTGGGCTGTCTGACACAGGGCCATGCCTGACCAATTTGGCACCCTTGGCAAGATATTTGCTGGCGCCCCCCGACTCACGGTTCGGTTCAAACCTCGGTTTTCAAAAACTACTGAAGAAACATTTCAAAAACTTCCCTAAAAAATGTCTGGATTTTATTAATTATTAAACAAATGTTGCATTGCGATAAAGAACATGAACATTACTTAAGTTATATTAACTTACAGTTCACAATAAATAAATAAAAACTTGTTAATCTCTTAACAGTCTATATTCTCTAAATAATCTTATTTCTTCACTGGCAGTTTGTGTGTGGGAGGGAGATGCACTTGAGGCTGCATCACTTGGTGCTGAGGTGGATGAGGTGGCTGCAGTTACATTAGTAGGTCCAGGATTTGCAGAGGTGTGGTACAAATACTTCAGAAGTGCATCTAAAAAGAGGAGATACATATATTTGACAAACTGGGCTTTTACAATATATTAATCAAATAGCTGTTGATTGTGAAACCATCATGGAATGACCATAATAGCACCTAACATTACAGCCTGCCTTGATCTAATGACATTTTAAACACAGCAAACAGCCAAAATATAAAAAATGCAACTGTAACATCACAAATCTGAAAATTGGAAAACATAAATATACAGTATATGAATATATGCCTAGTTGGTAAACAGTGAGTGGTTTGTGCAGCAGCACATTAAACATTAAAAGAAAAGATAGGCCAATATATTAAATTATGTTGCTTATTCACTCTAAGATGGGAGCAACATTAACTTACATTAACTCTAACTGAATGCTGAAAGTATTCCTAAAACAAGTGGCTAATGAAGTCGCAGTAACATTGACGTTATGTAGTAACGTTAGTAGCCTAACCGCTAAATATTAGCAGCTAATGAGCTGACGTTAGCTTGCAAGTGCTTCAGTAACTGTAACTTATGTTGTGTTTCTACCATTTTAAATGAAGTGTTTCATCACATCACATCATTACCTCGGTCTCATTCATGTTTCTCCTCCTCTTCTTTTCTTTGTTTTTGTACGGCACCCCAGAGGGCTTTTGCCTCTTCATGACGATGGCACCCGACTGTCAGTTTGTCATCACATTACAGAAGAAGACGGCAGGTAGCGGGGGAAGGGGGGCGCGGTTAGGGACTGTGGTGCTGCCTGCCAGAGAGGCAGAAGGATGCCAGGCAGGCAGAAATTTAAATTAGAAATATTATTTCATTATTATTTAAAGACGTATGTCTATATGTACTGTTGTTATTTTGTAGTGTATTCTTGTCTAATTTTTGAATAGAATGGGGAAAAAAAAAAAAAAAAACCTCACTCCCTGGCGCCCTCTGGCATGTTGGCGCTTATAGCATTTGCCTAACCTGCCCTATGGGCGGCACGGCCCTGGTCTGACATACGTGACAAATATACTAACAGTGTACTAACTATAGAAATATGCATAGAATAGGTGTGGGCCAAAAATATAATGGAAAAGTTGAGAAGTAATTTCATTGCAAAAGTTAATGTTTTAATGATTCAAATAGTGCACAAATAAGATAAATGCTTTGGATTCATTGAAGATAAAATGGATAAAAATGAAGTGCACACAGGACTATGAGGAGTTTTATAAAAACACAGTGGTTAGACGCCTCATTCCCCAAATTTAATCAATATCTATTAAGTGCATTTTTCTGCCTGAGACATAACTGTGAGAATTATTGGACTGGAGAACAAACAGAAAGCAATTTAGAGCTACTGAAGTAGCCTCCAACAAATTTCAGCCCAAGGCTGAAGTAATTCAACCAAAGGATTTCAAGCTCATAAATTTAACAAGATGTTATTTCGACAAAATACTTTGAAGGTGATAAATACATTTCTTTGTGTACAATACAAGTACAATACATCTTCTTTAATTCAGTCCAACATGCTTCCAGTTATGGTAAAATATGACTGCTGCAAGACCTTGCATAGTGCTCATTAGTGCTTCATGTTAACCATTCTGTCATCTAGTTGCCAGATTTTCTCTCTCAGTGGATGTTGGGTGTCTTTGATCCAACCTGTTTCAACAACCTGCAGCAGTTTTACACCACAGACAGATACTGCAGACCACACACTCATTTTAAAGCTCTTTGCAGGCAGGATAAGTAAGAAAAATGTTGTTGATGGATGTGTTTGCACAGAATTACACAGCTCTTAAAGGTACAGCATGAACATTATTGGGGTGAGGAGGGAAGGCTGAATCTTTTGTTTCACTGTTCTTTTAAGAAGCAAGACTGCCAACAGCGTTATTGATATATTATTTAGAGTTTCAATCTCTTGATGTTTTTAAAACTATAACACCCTACTTCCAAATGTCTCAAAAAGATAAAGCTCATATAAAAACTACATTTCAGTCAGGAGAGACCAGGTGAATGAAGTAAAAATGGTTGTTAATACAGATTAGAAGTGTGCTGATTAACTGATGATTTGATAATTATGAACTGACAAAAAGTCTTTGGAGCTTGGACTCCCGAGGGAGATTTGCAATCGGGCAGCATCTGAGCAACAACAAAATAAATCCCCTATAGAGTCCAGACGCTGGTGGTCGAGACTTTAGGCTGATGAGGCTGATTAATCTGCGAAGACTCTGCGGTGATGGGGAGGTGGAGGGTGCGCACAACTGCAGCATGAAAGAAGTACGAGCAGAAAGAGAACCGTATTTAAAACAAGAAGCAGGAAGATGACAGGCCAACAGAGAAAGTGTGTTGCTATGCTATTGGTTCACTGTGACTGAACAGCTGATGTCTCAGTTGATAGCCCCCGATAATGACAGAAAGAAATGAGTGAGCATGCATGCAAGGAGTGAATGGTAGATGTTGTGTGAAATATTTTAAACACGTAAGCATGCACTAGTATCATCTCCCTGACTGAACTTTCACTAGAGCTTCACATACATTTAGACAGTATTTATTTAGCACTTCTGTGTATCATATTTGCTGATCTGGAATCTAAATCTTAGTCTTGACTTTTGATCAGATCAGCAGCTTTGTTTTATTCTTTGTTAAATGTTTTATTTGGACTTTGCTTTCATGATTGTTTTAATGTTTTATTTGGCCCCTTTCTTAATGTGTGAAGCCCAGGAACAATAGCTACTGCTATGACAGAAGCTAACTGGGATCCAAAGATATGGCCTAAACAAACCAACAAATTTAAAAAACTCCACCTCCTATCACCTCCACTCATTTGATCAGTAAAAAAAATGGTTAAATGCATCTCTCACTGCTGCTAACCCCAGTTAAAGGTCTAGTGTGTAGAATTTAGTGGCATCTAGTGGTGAGGTTGCAGAACTGAAACTTAAAACGTGTATTTGTACCCTCATGAAAAACATGAAAGTGGCAGGGGACTTTCACTTTGACAAAATTAAGGAAATTTCCACTGTTGGAAAAGGTATAAAAGGTACAAATAAGCAGATACAATTTCAACAGAATTAAGGAAAATTAAATTTTTGACTCTCAAAATTTCCTTTGGAACCCCAGAACCCCCCGACCATGTTGAAGTGAAACCTACACCCATGACAACAGCGGCCAACACCAAAACACAAGAACGAGAAAATGTGAATGGCCTTATCTAGAACCATTGTTTGATTTGTCCCTCCTGGGATACTGTAGAGCAACATGACAAAATCGATGGGAGAGAACTTGACATTATTTGGCTCCACCTGTGGGTTCTGCCTCGGCCCCTACACTTTACATTGTAATGACATCAGATTTTTTAGTTGCTTTTGACAGCTGGAGGAAAGTTTTACAAATATAAAACCTCCATGGATCAAAATTCCATATTAGACATAGCTACAATTGACCCTGTTTGCAGTTCGAGGTGGCCTGTCAACAGTTTTAGGCCCTGATCACACAGAGAGCCTTTAAGCAGCTGGATGCGCCTTTTTGTAATTGTTTTTAATGAGAATTAGATTTTTTGCTCGCAGTTTTTGTGTTGCAAAAAAACATTTCTGTACTTTTTTCTGGAGCGCTCTGAAATCCTTGAGTCAAATAAACTTCAACATAAAGTAGAAAAACACCTGGCGTCTTTTTTTCATCATCTTTTTTCCCATTGTCCAGTCAGATGTTTTGATAGGCGGGCCTTCTGTGGTGGTCATGGCAACAAGTTTAGTAAACAATGGAGGAAAAACTGGCGGTAGCGGTTGCTGGATACCCAGAGCTATGCGGCCCGGCGATGGACAGCAGGTTGTCAAACGGCCCCTGAGTTATCTTAAAATATGCCTGGAAACCGCCATCATCGAGGTGAAGCTCCTGGACCAACTCCCTGTGATCCACTGTCATTTTTAGGGTCTCATGCCCCCACACAGATCTCTGTTTCCCTGTGCCCAACAAGCCTCTCACCCTCAGCCAGAGCTACAGCAAGAACCCTCTGCTTGTCCATTTTAGGAACTAGTTATTAATTACTGTAACATAAAAAAATAAAAACAGTAGATTAATGACGGGAATAAAAAGACGCAGCAAATTTTTTTTTTTTTTAGTTATTGTTTTTACTAGTGCCATTCAATTTTTAAAAAGGGCAGTGCGACCCGCAAAACACTTTCTGAACAAATCTCTTTTATAATGGTGGTGGTCTATGAGGAAACGCTTTTTGGGCTGCTGCAATACTGCGAGTGATCCTGGGAAAAAAAATTGACAGCAAGGCCAACCAGTGTTCCTGTGGGCCTGGAGAGGACATAACGATTCTTGTTTTCTCATTTAATTACAAACTAATGAAAACATAGTTAGGACTTTTAGGCTACCATTTCTGTCAGTAGATGCTCCTACATCCTACACACTGGACCTTTAAGTTGCTTTCAGTCAGGAGTTGCCTCAGGGTGTCAGTCCCTCTTTAATGTGTCCGCGTGCGCCCCCTGACGGTGATCCCCGGTACAGCACCGGCGCCCTCCTCTCCTCAGTCTGACCGTCCGTCCCACCGCCGCCCGCAGGAGCTGCTCTCACTCCGCTGCCCAAGTTCACAAACCGCTGGCTGTGTGTGAGTGTGGAGAGGTTGTCCCCGTGTGTGTGTGTGTCTTCTTACTATTGTTTTGCTTCAGATGGACAGACTGACTTCTGATCAACTTTATATCTGTCCTCAGACCAGGATTCAAACATTTAACTTGTTTTTAACATTTCTGGATCATAGCCGGTTTTGTTTCCTCTCTGTCCGGATTGATTTTTGTTGATGGCGCGGTCTAACCAAGATGGACACGGATTGTCTGCCGGTTGGAGAGTAGATAACGTTTTCACCCATTAAATCTAAATGTAGACTTTGTTTAATTATCCTCTGTAAAGCTTTTATTCACCAGGTGGATGTAACCGGACCGGGTCATTTCCACCCCAGTGGTCACATCCTATAATGAACATTCTCCCACTGAAGTTTCGGTGAACTCTTCCCACGACTCGCCATGTCGGGAGTGGTCCGTACCCTGAGCCGCTGCCTGCTCCCGGCCGAGGCCAGCCGGGACCCGGGCAGCAGCAAGGAGGGGAGCCGGGAGAGGGACGCGGCGCAGGAGCGGGAGGCGCGGCGCAGAAGCCGGGAGATAGACGCGATGCTCGCCCGAGAGAGGAGAGCCGTCCGGCGGCTGGTCAAGATCCTCCTGCTCGGGGCCGGGGAGAGCGGAAAGTCCACATTCCTCAAACAGATGCGCATCATTAACGGGCAAGAGTTTGATAAAAAGGCACTTCTGGATTTCCGGGACACTATCTATGAGAATATACTGAAGGTAAGCACAAGGTTTCATGGGAACTAAACAGCCTGGGGCCTTCAGGCAAAGTTTACAGCCCCTCAGAGCAAAGTTTAAACCACCACACTTATGATTTGAACTGTGAACTCCTGCTTTTGTCTTTTTGTTTCTTATTTAAATGCATGTTTGTTGAGAACTCCATTTCAAACAAATAAAGATTAACTGAAGGGTGTGTGAGGAACATTTAGGAGACGAGAAAAGTAGTCGATTAATCAGCCTGTGGAGATATATTGACTAGAGCTGAAACAATTAGCCAATTATTAGATTAATTCTGCATTTAAGTCATTTTTCAAGGAAACATTGTCAAACCTTCACCATTTCCAGCTTCTCAAATATGAATATTTGGTGTTTTTTTAATCATTTATAATGGAAAATGTAATAAATTTGAGTTTTTGGCTCAAAATGATGGGCTCTGGGAAACTGTGACAGGCATTTTTCACTCCCTCTGACATTTTAGAGCCCAAAAGATTGTTGATTAATTGAGGAAATAGTCCGCAGATTAATCATTAGTAGAAATAATCAGTATTTGCAGCCCTAATATTGACATTTTCATCCTACAGTTAAGGCTCCCACTCACAAGCAGATATTCAAACACACAGAGAGGTTTGTTGACATAGTACATATTTTTATCCTGAAGTGTGTGTGTGTGTGTGTGTGTGTGTGTGTGTGTGTGTGTGTGTGTGTGTGTGCGTGCGTGCGCGCGCTGCCCCCTTTGTTTGCTGTCATGGCTGGGCCTCCTTCACCAGCTAACAATACCAGACTATTCCTGAGGGATGAGCACATCCGCCCCGAGTGCCACAAAGCCCAGACAAGGATGATAAGAGCCTGCACTTCTACACAGCCGAGGCAGTATACAATACCCTCCCCTCAATACCAGCATACAGTGGTGGCGCTGTCTCGGGCCACATCATGAACAGGACCCCACCCCCACCTTACCACCACTCGACCTCCTGAAAAGCACGCAATGCATGATGTGTAGGAGGGCAAGAAGGCAAAAATTGCAAATGAATGTTTTAGACAATAAAGGGCATCTTCTCCAGCACAGCATGATGCCTGGGTTACCTTGACCCACCATGTCTCATAACATAAGACACAATGTTACTGATAGGGTTGCAGATAACAGTTATTTTGACTGATGATTAATATATCTCTATCTAAATTTCCCAGTGAATCCAAAAATCATTTAGTCTATTAACTGTCACAAAATGGTGACAAACGTCCAAAGTGATGTCCTCTAATGACCTGTTTTGTCCAACCAACAGTCCAAAATCCAAAAGTATTCCGTTAACATTAAAATAAAATAAGGAAGGAAAATCAGCAAACAAAGGTCAGATTATTTCTATGACTCATTAACTGGTAGATTATTTTCTTGACAAATTATTTCCACCAGATGTAAGCCTGAGGAAGTGTGCACATGTGTGTGAGAGTGTGTATCTGTCTGTCCACAGCTAATCTCACAAACTACTGGACCAATCAGCCTAATATTTTGTGCTCAGCTTTATGACTGTATGCTGTATGTATGTAAAGACCTCTAGTGGTTGATAGGAGTGGGGAAAAATTTGATACAGCATTGTATCATGATATTTGTGATTGATGATTAAGTCAGTTGTTTTTGTATCTTCACTGCCATCTTAACTGTGAGGTAGTTGGGAGGGACAATTCCACCAGTTGTAGCTGCGCGGGATGCTTTGCTGCCTGGCAGAGACCGGCCCTCTACTGAGTGCACCTATCTAGTTGATGCTTATTTGGACCATGAACATATCTGAAATTTTGAAAAGTTTCCATCACAGTTTCCCAGAGACCCAGTTATTGTTTCAGCACTTATGATTAGGTAATATGAAATGGCATAAAACATACATCATAAACAATTTATTGTCCACCACAGAGAAGATACAGGAATCAGTAGCAAGAAACAACACGTCCCAGTTGCACATTGACCGTAAATTATAATGGGCGTTAAAATGACTTAGAAATACAACATTTACCATGAGCACATAATTGCCAGTGTTTCATGACACCATAAACTGAGGATGAGTCCCTCAGTAAAGCTCAGAACAGTGAGTGTATTCAGAGGGATGATGCCCGAACACTGGTGTCAGGATCAGCCTCACCTGTTGGGTGCAGAGGACCGCCTCCCATCATGGGAACCTAATGATGGAGCACGAGAACAAAGCTGAAAGAGAACACACAGATGTGTAGCACAATTAGGATTATAAAAAATAAACAATAAAGAGGTGGAGTTCAGGTGCGGTCCCGCTGCTTCAGTCTCAGTAATTACACCTCCACCAGCAGATAAATCTCTGACTTAATCCTTGTCAAAGTTGACTTATTCATTTCTCATGAATTAAAGTGAAACTAAGGAAACTACTGGTCCTTAAGTAACTCTGTTAAGTCTCGAAATCAAGTGTAGGTTTGCTGAACAGCTATCACTGATTTAAAAAGCTGCACCTCTTGGTTAGAAAAGAACGTAAAGAATCCTTTGTCTTTTATCCACTTTATAAATAGAGCACACAATGGTTTAAAGTTTGTCATGATCAGTTTTTACCTTTTTATCAGTACTTCTTAACCAAGTGTTTCCCCAACAACTGTGTTCAAGGCGGAGACCAGTGCAGAAGATGGGGCGGACATTAAAGCAGGAAGGGAGCCACCTTGTAATTACACAATAGTGATAAATGAAACAGAGCTTTTTTCAGTCCCAGCCAGCTGCCACCGTAGGCGACTGCTAATAATACCACAGACCACGTCATGACTGTGAGGATAGAAGTCCGGTTCAGGTTTTCATGTTTTTCTAGCCCCATGTGGTGAGATAATCCTGAGGGCCAGTGACACATAAGACAAATACAGAGAGACGGTCTTTTGTCTCTCTAGCTCTCCTTTTTTTTTTAAAATTCTAGACTCAACTTAATCTGTAACTTTTCATGTGAACAACCAGTTGCAATACTTTGAGTGAGTCCCCCCACCAACGACGAATGGCTTTTCACTCCACCTTTGTGTGTGGCTGCTTGGATCAAGTATAAACTATATTATCATGTGTCTGGTCATGTGTGTATTTGTCTGTCCGCAGCTCTCAAAAACTACTGGACCAATGAGCCTCATATTTTGTGTGCACGTATATGACTGCTTCTTTAAGGATCTCTCATGGTTGCAGTGATTCATAATTCTTAAGAAGTCTGTTTTATTTTTTTTATTTTTTTTTTATTTAATTTTTTTTAAGATATTCCCTTGGCCATTTTTTGCCTTTAATGGACAGGACAGTCAAGTGTGAAAGGGGGAGAGAGAGAGGGGATGACACGCAGCAAAGGGCCACAGGCCGGACCCGAACCCCGGCCGCCGCGGCAACAGCCCCGCACATGGGGCGCCCGCTCCACCACCAAGCCACCGATGCCCCGAGAAGTCTGTTTTATTGAATGTTTTGTGCCATCACTGACTGCTGACTCCTCACCCCTCTTAACCAGCCACACAACAAACCTTACCCTAGTCTGTCGCAGGCCACATTTTGTCCCTCGTCATGGTTCAAAAACTGACATTCATAGAAAAGTTTGGTTTTATTTTGAAGGGGCGCATCGGCACATTAATTCCATACTGATACGTTCCACTAATGTTAGGCATGATATGAGATTAGTTAGTCCCTGTGTTTGTCATCTTCGCTACCATCTTGACTGGAAGGGAGCTGGGAGGGACAATACTATTGGGCCCAGCTCTTCATAGTCCGTTTGTGACCTGGTTTTGTTCCGTCCTCTGAACAGTGTCATACCACACTGGAGTGTTTTGCCTCCCTGATTTTGTAGACTTGCAGATTTTGTTGATTTGGTCATTTTTCCTTGATTCCCTTTATGGCTGTATTAATTATGTTTATTATTATTATCTCCTACTTTGTTGTACCCTGGAAATCCAGAGTTCTCGTGAGAGCGCAATTTGAATTTGCTCAGCGAGTCACCTAAATCTTTCTAGATTTGGGTCTGGATTTCCAGGCTAACTTTGTTGTGCTGTAGCCTACAGACAAAGTTAATGCAGTGAAAAGTCCAGTTATGAACAACATGGATCAAAGATTTGTGGCTGTGTTTTAGTTATTTAAAATACACACATCCTCATAATTACATTGTAGGTTATCTATATTTCACATACAGTCTGTTAGTAGGATAAAATCGATCTGCTCTGTGCAACACACTGCAGCTCTGTCAAAAATAGACAAGGCGTGTATCTTTATTAGCTTCCGGGACGCTTCTGAGACTCACTGCTGCCCGTCTGCTGAAAAGAATTTCCTAGAGTGGCTGCAGTCACTCCACTGATTGCACTTTCCTGTCATATACTTGACTCACTTTTGATTTGAAACACTTTGTGGTTTGAGTTTACATCCTATGAACCACTTTTGTTTTAGTACAGCCGACAGTTGAGAGACAGAGGCTGCATCTTTAAAAGCATGCAGTCCACATAGGTGTGTCCTTCAGAGAAAACTTACTGCCTCACTGAAACCAGAACTAATGTAGCTTATATTTGTGCAGTCCTTATCATCTCGTAAAAGTTATTATCACCCATAAGTCCTCCGCAAACAGACAACAAAATTTAAATACCAGTGTTAAATTAGGATAAAGGCAAATTATAGTGGAGTTTACAACAGCGGTTGTGAAACTGGATAATAGTCCACCAGAGTAAAGGTTAAGGCATTTATATAACACCCATTTATCTGTAAAGTAACACAGCCAAAAAGAGGAAAGAAGAAAAAGACTGTTTATGCACAACTTTCACCATATACAGAGTCATTGTATTCTTCTTTTCTTTTGATCAGTCTAGTAGTCCAAGTGGCATATTTATTAAGAAGTGATGACAACTTGGATGCAAATATCTGCTCAACTATGTAAGTCAATTAGGATCACAGATGGCTGCATTTCTTGCCAATAATATGGAGGGGTATTTGAAATCTGACAACTTGTTATAGTTTTGTTGTATTTGGTGTAGAAATGCAAACATGATGACACACTTACTGACTTCTCACTGACAGACAGATGTTCCAACACGCAGGCATACAGGAAAAGATATGGAGACATGATTATAGACACTACAAATGCAGAGTTGAGTGAACTGATAAAAATGTCGATGATGATTACACAGGCAATAATCATGAGTGGATGTGACTCAGGGTTCACTCACAGTGACTCTTCAGCATGCTGCTGTTGGATCTGTACGTCGTGTCAGATTGCGGTTACATGTGTGTCTTTGTGTTTAACACCAGTTTTATTAGTCTTACTCATTCTGTAAAAACAAAACCATCAGTACTGAAAAGAAAAGTTTTAAGCGAGGGATCAGGCTTAAAAACACACCAGTTAGTCACAAAGGAGCATCACAGTCAGACTGCACACACACACACGCACATAGCAGAAGGATGAGCGATGATTTCTACAAACTGTCACATCGTCTTTTCTTCTTTTTCACACCCACACCTCCTGTCGCACACCCATCTATCTGAGGAGGGGGAATCTCTCTTTGAACTTTGTTGTCTGAGATTTCTTCCAGATTTTTTTCCACGCTCTCTTTTTTTTTCAGAGGATTTTGAGCTGGGTTGGCAGCTGTTCACGTTGTGGGCCTGTAAAGCCTCATTGAGTGCAATATTAAGCTGTGCAAATAAACTTGACCAGACTTGACTATTGCACAAGGGTTAGGTGGTCGTGACTCACTGACACACACAGTTATACTCACATCCGTTAACCTGCTGTGACCTTTGAAACGCCTCAGAGTTTACCAATATTATTTGCTGCTGAGTCCTCTGTTGATTCAATCAATACATAACACAAACACTTTAAAAATACAGCAGAGTCTGAACTTTGAGACGCTGTGGAAGATGCCTCTCATTAAGGTAAATAATAAGCCAAAAACATGTAAGCAAAGAAAAAATGTGACAGGTAAACAAGCAACAAAACAAACAGATAAAATACTAGAAGTAGTCAGTCACAAATAAAAATTGTTGTGCATAATAGACTTTATATTTTTGATTCACTGCCAAACAAACTGCTGAATTGGAGCAATTAAAAGTAATGGATTCAAGAAAAGTGTCATAAATTAAAGAAGGAGACACAAAACATTAAGTCGTCTATCTGTCTGTGTGTGTATTGCTTAGTTTGATCACTCAGGAGGAGACCTCCCACTCAGATCAGTCCACACGCCTCTCCTCAGAAAACCACCAGCAGCCACACATGCTTATGTTTGAGTGTGTATGTGTGTGTTGGACACATGTGCCTCCCTCTTAAAGTTACTCCATGTTTACCAGTAACACTAGACTCCATGTTGACGTTTTTCCCAGGAAGCACCACATGCAGTAGGAGTTTTTTTTTCCTCCGTGTGGTCAGGAAATATTTGTACAATATTGCTGACATTAGAAAAAGCAGCTGTTACGCTGCTTCACCACATTCTGGCTCATGTGTTCACGCTCTGACTGTGTGTTTCTGCAGGGCATGCGGGTGCTGGTGGACGCCCGGGATAAACTGGGCATCAGCTGGCAGAGCTGCGAGAACGAGAAGCAGGGCATGCTGGTGATGTCGTGGGAAGGACGAGTGGGCGGCTCGGGGGTCGAGCCAAGTGAGTTTCAGCTGTATGTGATGGCACTGAGCGCGCTCTGGGCGGACGCTGGCATACAGGAGGCCTACGCACGACGGTCTGAGTTCCAGCTGGTGAGTAGATTAGCCCTGTAACACACAGTTCAGCCCTCTCAATCATCTTCAGGTTGTTATTCAGTTCGTTCCAAGTCTTTATTGAGGCTATGTAGTGTTTACACTGTTGCACTACTCCATCAAACTTGAGGCAAGTCTTGAGGCTTCTATTGAGGTTCTTGAATGAAGATTTGAGTGTTTATTGGCATATTTGATCATGTCATCACCCTGAAAAAACAAAATTCTTAAAACAAAATCCTCAATTTGAAAAATGTTAATCATCTAATTAAATGAGTTACTCTTTTTTAATTATTAAAGGTCCAGTGTGTAGGATTTAGGAGGATATATTGGCAGAAATTAAATATAATTTAATAAGCATGTTTTCATTAGTGTATAATCACCTGAAAATAAGAGTCTTTTTTTTTTTTTGTAACCTTAGAACACAGGGAGCAGATCCTCTTTCATTGAGTGCACCATGTCACACTGCCATGTTTCTACAGTAGCCCAGAACGGACAAACCAAACACTGGCTCTAGATAGGTCCATTTGTGTTTTTTGTGTCGGCCACCATCGTTAGCAGCCCCTCCACATCACGTGCATCGGAAAAACACTGATTCTTTAATGTGAAACTGCTTTATTGAGATAAGGTAAGGTAAGGTAAGGTAATTTTTAATTCGTCCCACATGTGGACATTTCTGATATTACAGTAGCAGAATGAGATTGCAAACAGGAAGTATCAGTAGAAAAAAATAAAATACAAAGCCATATATAAGTAGGTAAAATAAGTAAACTGTAACAAAACAAAAGAGCAGTATAATAATCAAACAGTATTAAAACACAAAGCCATATAATAAGAAAGCATCAGAAAGAAGCAGAACATAATAAAGAGACAGACTGAATGACTGATTTTACATTATTGATCAGTGGAAGAATAGATATTGCACAATTTAACAATACTGATGTTGCATCTGAGTCATTGATTGTTAGCAGCAAAAATAAAAGCAAGATATAATAATAACTTATTCAGTGTTTTCCTGGGTATAAATCACCAGGTCTGTTTGGGAGAGGGACAGACCTCTGTGGACAATTTAGCTCCTGGTAAAAACCTCCTGAACAACAAACAGAAAGATTCTCACTGGGAGAAGTTTCAGCTGGTTGCAGTCTGTAATCCTCACTGCTAAATGCAACTAAATCCTCCTAAATTTTACACACTGTTCCTTTAAATCAACTTTCTTAAATGAATTAATATAATATAAGGTGCTGTTAAATTGCTGATAGACTGCCGATTAATACAGGTGCCTGACTCTCTTTGTGTGCGACAATTTATCTGCAGTGAAAATGTATTTTAAAGGCTTTGTAGGCATTGTATATCCAATATGTGCGCTATTGTTCAACATACATTTGTGTAAATAAACAGTTGTTTGTATCTTTTCGGATGCACAGTGCTGTAATAACCACGTCATTTCCTCAGAGCCTCCTTGCCGATTCGAGATGTCTAACCAACCTCAGCTCTACCATCTATTTAAAAATAATTTCATAGCTTATTAATTACAGCCGGCAAAGTGAAATCTTACATACTTACACTTAAGTTAAAGCTTTATTGACATTACATGGCTGTCGTGATCGCTGTCCATTATGAATGTTGTCCTCTACCACACTGTATTGTTGCATATTGGAATATTTAATCAGAAATAGCATGCAGTTCACGTACTGTAGGTTTCATACTACACATACTAAACATTCTCAGATACTGTTTTAGCATACTAAATAGTATGTACGTATTGAATGCAAACAGTCATGCAAAAACTAGACTTTGAATGTCAGTGAATGTTATAAATGAAGCTCTAAACTATTCAGTACAGCCCTACTTGTGCATGAATTCTGCACATGTACCCAAAATTCAGATTGACTTATTTGGTCTGTTTGGAAATTTCAGGATCCTCTAGTAGATTTTATAACGACATTCAGCAGGGATTGAATGATGTTTTGATGGCACAGAAACAGTTTTAATGATGGCTGCTTGTGAAAGATGGATGATTGTGACAGTTTAAAGATAAGATTCCCCCTGGGCACCTTGGTAGCTCCCTTGGTGGAGTGCATACCATTAAGACTCAGGCCTTGTTGCTGCAGCCTGGGTTCGATTCCAGGCCTCTGCTGCATGTCATCTCTCCTCTCCCCTGCCTTTCTCCTCAGCTTTCACTGTCAAATAATGACAAAAATGTTCTCTCCACCTTTTTTTTTTATAATTCAGTCTCATATTTAGGATTGATAAATGACAAACATGGTATTGTGGCTCCATTGCAAAAGTTGAAGCCATTTCCGACACCAGGACGAAACAATTTAACAATGTCAGACTATCCTTTAAGACTTTAAATAGTCCGTCAACTACTCATGCAGCAGTCTGAAAGTCGCTCTAGAGAAAACGTCCCAAACTCATTCAGTATGTCAAAAATAACCTGTTACTGTACGCCAAATCTTCCCATGACTGTCCGAATAAAAAACCAGCCTCCAGTACATTTACTTACCAGAAGTCATGATCAGTCAGAGATTACTCACTGGCTGATGCCTCACATTTTATGTGTCTCATAGCGAGAGTATCCAGTGAGAAATCCATTTGATTATCAGTGGGAAAATGTTTTTATTTATTTATATAATTCTTTTCTGTGTCAGTGTGGTGGCAAAGTATTAAGTTAAAGTCAATTCTCCATTAGAGCAACACCAGATAACATCCTGGAGCTGAATACAGCTCAGGACCTTAGTCGCCCATCAATACTCTCCAGACAGTGCTTCTGTCTCACTCGACTGTGAGCCGTCACATTGAGGAATAATGCCACATGAAATAACCTCTAATAAAAAAAGAAACTTGCACTGTGCACGTTTACCGGTTTTGTACCCCCAGTTCCATAAATATTTCCACATCACTTCAGTGACGTCAGTAGTCTGGAGTCGCAGATATCTGCACAGTAACTGATTTACCACAGCCAGTAGACACAAAGCTAATAATAACTGACAAGCTCGAAACTTCAGTAACTGGATAATATCAGAAATGTTTTTTACCTGTCAGCTGGAGAAAGAAGTCACAGCGAAGGAGCACTGCAGCGAGCAAAGCCTCTGAAAGTATTTATTGTTTTTTTTTTACTGCATAACTTACCTCGCTCATGTTTTGGTGTTTGGAGACATTCCAAAGATGTAATTATTTTTCTCTTGACTGGAAATGGAGTCGGTGAAGTGGAGCCCTGTGGAGTTTCATCTGCCACGCTACACTGCACCGAACACAATCTGAAACGGCTCGTAGGCTGCAGTGTAATTCCTTTTCCCTTTTAACCATAATATATTAAAAGCATACTGATCAAAAACATCGGGTTGCACTCATCACTGATCCTCGTATTGCTGTATAACCAGCCACATTGGATAAATGGAAAATAAGGTAGTTTTTATTTTTTATTTCTTCAAAACAGGCACCCAAATATCAGAGTGACCTGAAAGCCTCAAAATCATCATCAAAATTTACATAAGGTGACATGTTTTTCATTTTATTTCTGCAGGATATAATTTAGGGAAACTACCTGTCAGACAGGACAAAGTTTTGAAGGCTTGTCTCTGCTGCCCTGCCATTTTGTAATTTAGGCCAGTAAGACATTTAAACCTCAGCCTTAAAGCTGTTCAAATCAATATTTTGAATATATATTTATTTACAATGGATGTGTGTTGTGGAGTGACAAACCTACAGATTGTTTCACCATAGAAATAGAATGAGAGTAGAGCAGACATTCCCAATCAAATCAATGTAGCAGGATGGTCAAAGCAGCGGACATTTTTATGTATCATTGTCATTGTAACCGTTGAAGCGGCCTTCCTTAGGTACATACCTTTGTATAAAGAAACCAACTTGAGGCAGGTTGTGAATTCACTGAAGTGAGGCTTTGCAGCAACGAATGAAGTGGAGTAGTCATGTTACTCTTTCAGAACAGCAGTCCGTTGCTTTTAAAAGATTTCCTGTTTCTTTTGTTGCCATTAATTGTATGTTCGTTGAAGCATGACGTACTGTAGCTGCATCCAAAGAACAAGAGAGAGCCACTGCTCAGTGTACAGCTGTTAGGTGGGAGGATAAACAGCTTGTGGATCCACATATTTTTACATCTGACTCGGTGAGTGAAGGGTTTTGTAGGAGCCATGATTTCATTTGGAAAGGAATAGTTGTGTGAGATTTATACGTTTTGGGTTGGTTTATATTTTTATGTTTTTGGTCAGTGTTTTGGGATATTATTATTTATTTATTTTTAGTGATTGCAGTTATTGGGAGAGTCGGGTCACATGTAAATGGCCGCTGACACTCATCATCTAAATGAGCATCTGATCTTCACCTTTATGGGGTTTTTTTGGTTGGAGTGAGAGTGGGTTGCCGTATTTTTTGTTGACCGCACTTTTCTTTTCGCTGTGATCATCCTAATTATAAGTCTGTGCACGTTATATTAAGTTTTGTTGGCGTGTCAGACAAGTTAACTAGGCCCAGCCTCGGCCTTTCAGCAACTTTTAGTTGGTTTCCTTCAGTCGCTACAGGTTTATTTTGACCAAACCTGAGCTGATGGTTGTTGGAACAGTGAACTAACTAACTGGATGACTTACAAAACTAACTAAGATGGGTAAGGTGAGCTTTATTTTATTTCTGTCAAAGTTCGAATGAAGTGTGTTCAACAATGAGCTAACAAGGCAATGCTAGTCTAAGTGTGATGAAAGAGAGAAACTTCGAATAGTGTATGGTTGTATTTTTAAGTTTCATAAGGAAAATAGGTGTCGGAGTAGTCAGAAGAAGAGTTCTCAAACCAATGAGTGTGACACACTTTACAGGCCATTGAAAACAATTTTCTTTTGTTCTAGTCAAATGACCAAATGTTAAATGTCGTTTCTACTTTTTTTAATGTCTTTTTTTATGATTATCACAAAATCTGTTGCTGAGGACAAACACAGTTTTTCTCAGCTCTGCGGAGCTTCGTGGCATTTTTCAGCTCATTGTGTTGGTTT